AGGCTTCGAAACCAGTCGCACTTACTCTGGCATGAATGGCCATAAGAGGGCAGAGACTCCTGCAAAGCCGAACTGGCAGCAAAACACGGTGCGGTAGGCCCATCGGGACTGGACCTGTCCAGTGTAGTTGATGACAATGAAGGCGACCAGAGGGCCAATACCATATGCTACACCGACACCGCAGGTGAAAACACCACGAAGCGCCAAGGGGGTGATCTAAAGGGTATGAGTCAGTTGGGACTTGTGCAGCTCCGAAGAAAGGGGTCTCCGACATACCTCTCCGATGTAGCTGACCATGACAGTACCGACAGCACCAACCATTACACCATTGAGAAGTTTACCAAGGAAGAAGACCACGTTCGTCGTAGCCACGAACTCGATGGCAACTGCGATGAAGGATATGATGAGAGCAAGAGCGAGGACCTTCTTACGTCCGATGTAGTCGGCAAGCTCGGCGGAGGCAACTGACGAGATGACCGCACTAAGCCGGCAAATTAGCCATCACAACATATCGAAGAAGCCGGCGAGTCAAGAGACTTACGAGGCAACGGGTGCACCGTTGAATGCAGACTGCCACACGGCATGCAGAACATATTGTCCCTTGTACTCATAACCAAAGTCCTTTCGAAACTCGGGGATTCCGACAACGGAACTGGCCGCTTGGGTGTCGAAGCTGAGCAGGATGATGGTCCAGCAGGCATACACACACCAAGCTGAAGCCCAAGGATAACGGATGAAGGATTTGAGGATACCAGTCTCGTGGTCCTCGTGGTCGGCGGCGTGAGCCAACTGCGAGTCGGCGGTGACTTCAACGTGCTTGGCATGCGAGTCGACTTTTTCGGCTTCGTAGCCGTCGCCGTCGTTGTGGGCAGTCATGGTGAGTAATTATCTCATGAACCAGTAAGAACAAAAATAAAAAGTAAAGAAAGAATGCCTTCGTCGATGCCGAGCCAGACTGAAAAGCAATTGGCCCGAGTTAAGGGTTGCTTGAGACTTTTAATACGCGAATGCAAAATTGGGAAACCAAGGCATGATAATTAGACTCGGACGAGATATCCGAGCGTCTGGGGGAGACAAGTCTGGGGAATTGGCGAGGGGCCCAGACGACCGGTTCGAGGGAACCGCCCCAAGCTGCCATCTACCGCCGCAGCGAAAAATGGTTCCCCCATGGGGGTGTCAAGATTTATGCGGAGGTGGGCCGCGAGCAGGGAATGACCAGGGTGCTATCAAGGCGTGACCACGTACCAACGAGGGAGTCGTAGGCACTCACCTCCGCATTCGTGGTGGGCTGCCCATGGGGTGAGGGGTTCGCGGGTGGCTCAAATTGCCCGATCGGGACAGGCCTGCGCGGTTTGAATCAGGCGCCATCTTAGATTCCCCGTATTTTGCAGCCCCCATCCTTGGACTTACCCCTCGCCGAACATTCTTCAGAGCCTCCGACTGCCTCTTCGGACGACGAGTAGCTGGTGAACGGGAGAGTTCTGTCAGAAGCGCCAAGTTTTAGAGTTTGGCCCCTTCTTAAACGGCGTGCGTGGGCTCTCATTTCGACTCGTTTGAGGAATCTCAAGAGCGGACGACGACGTAGACGATATTGAATACAAGTTGCCGCCCAAACTATTCGCGCCGATCACCAGACCAAGGGCTCGAGTCAACTCCGAATACAAGTCCGATCGCATCCGAGCTCCCAAAATCCCACCTCCACAGACATCACCAAAACCCATCGCAAAGATGGCCGCATCAACAACCAAAGGGGCAGCCGCCCTCACTCAGTTCCCGTCGAAGCCGCGAGTCTTTATTTTGACAGACATCACCAACGAGCCTGACGATGCCGAGTCCTTCTGCCGTTACCTCACTTACTCCAACCAGTTCCGCACAGAAGGCGTCGTCGCCGTCACGTCGGTATGGCTCAGGAACAAGGTCGCGCCGCAAAACCTCCACGAGATTGTGAATGCGTATGAGAAGGTTGTCGATAACCTCAACGCCCACGCGCATCCGGGCTCCCCCTACCCTTCGGCACAGACAGTGAGAGACCTCATCAAGTCTGGCCCTCCGGTAAGCCAACTCCTGCCCTCTGACTGCCCTCACAATGGCTGACTGGAATCGGTCGTCAGGTCTATGGCATGGAAGCCGTCGGCGACGACATCCCTCTGAGTGAAGGCGGCGAGCTGCTCCTCGAGCGGTTGACCGCGCCCGACGCCGAGCCGCTCTGGGTCCTCGTCTGGGGCGGCATCAACGTCCTCGCCCAAGTGCTGCACAAGATCCGCAACCGCCCCGACGCCGCGGCCCTGCGCCAGAAGCTGCGCGTCTACACCATCTCCGACCAGGACGACTGCGGCGCCTGGATCCGCCAGCAGTGGCCCGAGATCTTCTACATCTGCTCCGTCCACGGCTGGAACCAGTACCAGTGCGCCGCGTGGACCGGTATCTCCGCCCCCTGTGCGGGTGACCAGGGCGGACCGGACGGCTCCAAGGTGACGCACGAATGGGTCAAGGAGAACGTCCAAATCGGCCCATTGGGCGCGGCGTACCCCAACTTCGAGTTCATCATCGAAGGAGACACGCCTACCTTCCTCTATCTCATCCAAAACGGCCTTGGTGTTCCCGAAGAGCCCATATATGGATCCTGGGGAGGACGCTACATCCCGGCCAACGTCAGCTCCAAGGGCCTGCCCGCCAGGGGCCACTTTGCCGATGCCATCGACACCGTGGTCGGTGTCGACGGCAAGCCGCACAGATCGAACCAGGCTACCATCTGGCGCTGGCGGAATACCTTCCAGGACGACTTTGCGGCGCGCATGCAATGGACTCTGACGTCTGACTTTAGCAAAGTCAACCACCACCCCGTCCTTTCAGTCAACGGCGACTCCAATCTGACACCAATCCATGTGGAAGCAGACGCCGGTGGTATTATATCGTTCGACGCATCCGAGAGTTACGATCCGGATGGTGATAAGCTGAGCTATAAGTGGTATCAGTACCGTGAGCCCAGCTCGCTGCAGACGTATCACGGCATGGAGGTCTCTGACCTTGAGATCAAGCCTCTGAACGAGGAGGGAAGCAACGTGGAAATCACCATTGCCCCAGCGGAAAAGTCGTGTTTGGTTTGGAGGGAGAAGATTCCTCTCGAACGCGGTCTCCCTCTCCATTTGATCCTTGAGGTCCAGGACAATGGCTCGCCGCCTTTGACGAGCTACCGCAGAATCATCATCCAGCCGATCGATCGAAACTTCAGTTCAAGAAAGTAGAAAAAAGGTTTCATAGACATGGGTTCAACATAGAATAATAATTGCATCGCACAGCTGCCAAGTTTCGGATGTCGTGATTTACGAGGATGATAACGCTCATATCATGGCATTCGCAGTGCTGACATCTGATCCCCGCAGCCGAAGCATGAGGTAGGTCGGGACGACAGCGACTCTTATCTCCTTTGTGCCGCCGGTCAAAACTTTGTTTCAATGCAAATCATTTCAACACAATTAAGGTGCGCCCCGTTCAAACCCAGATCCGGACCAACTTCGATTCGGTACACCAATCGGCAGAGGGCCGGCTGACGCCCGGCCGGGACCTCATCCTTCGAAGCATCAACTGCCGACGGGACCCACCCGCTCCGCAAGCCCGCCCGTCGGACTTAGGTGACGAACCTACGTATCTCCATATGTCCCGGCCCGTCCGCAAGTTATTAGACTTTCGGAGTGCGGGTTTCATGAGACCCCGCTTTATTCGTCCCATGGCCTGAATCGTGTCTTAGCGTCGGGACGCCTCAACAAATGAAATTCTAGAAACGCGTTAGTCTAGACCCTAGACCGCCTCAAGTATTGCATCAAGAATGGTGATATAAAGAGACTTCATCGGCATTCCGGCCAGTTTCGTTTCGTTCGCGACAGACTAGACATCTCCCAGCTCATAAATAACGACTCACAGCTTTCTTCAACATGGTCCGGTTCAACCCAAGCAGCGACATCCCTGACCTCTCAGGCAAGGTCATCATCGTCACCGGAGGCAACATCGGCCTCGGCAAGGAGACCGTCACGCAGCTCAGCAAGCACAACCCAGCACACATCTACCTCGCCGCTAGGAGTCAGTCAAAAGCGCTGACAGCCATCGAAGACATCAAGAAGAATGTCCCTAACGCCGCGCCCATCACCTTCCTGGAACTCGACCTGACGTCCTTTGAGAGCGTCAAGCGAGCCGCCAAGGAGTTCCAGTCCAAGGAACAGAAGCTTCACCTCCTCATTAATAACGCCGGCATCATGGCCTGGCCCGCCGACACCACGAAGGAAGGGTACGAGATCCAGTTCGGCACAAACCACATGGGCCACGCCCTCTTCACCAAGCTCCTCCTCCCCACGCTCTCCAAGACTGCCAAGTCGGACAGCGACAAGGACGTGCGCATCATCAACCTCTCCTCGGCTGCCGAGGGGTACCCGTCGAAAGACGTGTGGAACTTTGAGGCCCTCAAGACCGACATGGCCTCGTACAGCACCTGGGCGCGCTACGGCTGCTCGAAGCTTGCTAACGTCCACCACGCCCGCGCTCTGGCCAAGAGGTATCCGGAAATCCGCTGCATCTCGCTCCATCCCGGTGTTGTCAGCACGAACCTCGGCAGCGGACTGCTGGCTAGCTGGCCGCTATTCAGGCCTCTGATCAACCTTGCGCTGTGGGCTGTGACGACGTCGGTTGGGGAGGGAGCCAAGAACCAGCTGTGGGCTGCGACGAGCCCGGAAGCGAAGACTGGTGTGTTTTACTGGCCTGTGGGGGTGACGGGCAAGGACTCGAAGCTTTCTTTGGAAGATGACCTTGTTGAGAAGCTCTGGGACTGGACGGAGAAGGAGTTGGAGCCGTACGTTTAATGTTCGCACTCGGTTTGGTCTGTTTGATATGTAAGATGCCGTGTTAATAAATGACGCCAACTGTATGCTTTCCTGTTGATGAGTTATATTGAATTTGAACGTTCTGTTGTTGTACCCTCAGTGCGCAGAGAATTGCCGCTGGGGAGTTGTTCAAATATCTATTTTGGGGTACGCATGGCTGAAGACGTTCGTTGGGTCGTACTTCATCTTGAGCTCCTTTACCCTGTTCCACTTCTCACCGTATAGCTCCGCCGCACTCCTCTCCCCCGGCGGATTCGTGGCCGGGTAACCACTATCCAGTACCGTATCTCCGCCCAACGACCGAGGCCTTGCTATCAGAGACTTGCTCCACGCGATGACATCTTCGGCGTACTCCTCCGTCGGGTGCTGGTACGAACAGGAGAAGTAAGAGTGACTCTTGTCGACGAAGCAATTCGGCGGCATCGTCGCAGCATCAATGTCTACCAGGCCTCCCCAGGCAATATTTGGGCCCATCGTTTTGGGCATAGCTTCGGCGGCATCAAGGATGGCTGCTGCCAGTTCGTCGCCGGCATCGCTTGTTGGAAGACGAGTAAGGAAACAGTTCCTTTGTCCACCTTTCAGAGGACATGGCGGAGGCATATTCTGCTGGCGGACTTTATCGGGCAACACCTCCACGGTGGACGCAAGCAGGGGCGGGGCGTTGTCTTTCCAGCTCTGTAGACAAGCCTGTCCCTCCTCGATATCGCCCGTCCAGGTCCAGATGACACTAAAGACGACTCCTCCTTGGGCTTGCCAGCTGATAAAATTGTGGATCGTTAGCTCCTTGGGCATAGGGAGCTTGGTGGTGGCTTCGAAGTATGCCTCGAGAGTTTTCCTGATGTCGCTGGATTCGAATATGAGAAAGCCGCCGAGGGGCTGTTGAGGTTAGCTCGGTCATGTCGGCGAGTCTTCCTTCAACTTACATCGTGTTTGGGGTACACCTTCACGGTCAGACTTGTAATCACGCCGAGGTGACCGCAAACACCTCTGACTCCCTCAAGCATTTCCTCGTCGGCGACAACTTTTTCGCCTTTTGCCTTTTGCGTTCACGAGCTCCGCCCCGACGACCTGCTCGATTCCCATGCCATGGATATGGGTGCTCGTCCCGTAGCCGCCGTTCGATACCCAGCCCGCGTAGCCGATGATCCAAGTATGACCCGTCGGCGTCATCAAGCCAACATCGTCCAAAGCGAGAATCAGGTCCTTCATCAGAACCCCACCCCCAATGACGACTGTCTGACGATCTTCCACGACCTTGATGCTGTTGATGCCGCGCATGTCGATCATGAGAGTGTCATGTGCAATGCTGCGCGCCCAGAAGTCATTGCCTCCTCCGCGGATGGTGAACTTGAGATCGACCGACTTTGCCCATCGTACGAGTCGCCCTACCTCGGATCCGTCTCGTGGAACTGCAATACCGGCAGGGCGGATGTGCTCGAATCCCTTGGCACCGTCCCGGAGCTTGCGATGCTCGGCGTATTCATCGGAACCGGCAAAAAAGAGGTCAACAGGCATGACGCCGCTCTCGATCTGCTCCTTCTGGAGGAGAGCAACCATGTCGTCTGTGATGATGTTCTGGGCTGCCATGGCTGCACTAGCATTTCACTCGGGGGCGATGCGAGATTCCGAGCTCAGGTTCAGGAGGGCACCATCAATTCCGCCTTTGTATGCGATTTTGCTGGTCCATGGCCACGATTTTACCCGGAAACGCCGGTGGTTCCTTGGTATGCTGTCAGCATCCTTCGGTCTGGCGCGGGGAGAGGGCAGGCGACCTCCTTCGGTCCCTCGAATCCGGACGGTCAGCTTGAACGCAAGCTGACCATGCAAACACGCAGAAAACTGTCAATAGGTCCAAGCCAACGACGAAGGAACCGCTGCTAGCACATTTTGAGTGCCCGACATCAGACAACGATATTCCCCGATCTTGTTTACAGTATTCCGATTGGGGAAATGGCCAGCCAGCTTCCTTTGTTGGACGAAGAAGGACGCGTTATGCAAACGCTGCAGCAGGGAGTCCTTACACCACTTCTGGCAGATGCCTCAAACTGTTGGTACTCGGGTGAGCTGACGTGCGACGCTGCGTTTGCTCTACGCTCCACCGGCGAGGAGCTTGAGGGTTCTGTAGTCTGGGGTGAAAATTTTTCACCGGGCTCCGTAACGATTTCCCTGGGGATATTGCGCACCCTGTACCGCAGCGACGTCCAAAGTACACGATGCCGGCTGGAGCATCAGTCGAGCAGCCGGCCAGGACTCCAAGAGTCGCCATCCTCTGCAGCAGTAGTTCCTCCTCGTGCCGCCGCACAGAGGCGGCGAGCAAAATGAAAAACAGTAGCGGGTGAATGAAGCACCCGTGGCGCCATGGAAAGCTGCCTGTGCCAGGAAAGGCTTTCCTGTCTGTTCATCTGGAATACGTTAGCATTGAGCTAAAGCCAGAAGTCTCGTCAAAAACGAAAATATTAGGTCCCAAAGTCAGACATCCAAGGAAGGATTGCCGCTCATCGTCCATCTCAAAGGCTCGAGTGATGGCTTGCGTGGAAACTGCGAATAGTGTGGAAAATTTCATCATTCAGGGAAAGGGAAGCAGAAAAGTGAACATTCTTGACTTACCATACAGATGTTGATGTGGTTGGGAGAAGGAAGACCAGTGAATGATGGCGAAAATTGAGGCTTCAAGTACTTCACACGCGCCGTGCACGAGCCACCTCGAAGAAAAAAATCGACGACGCACGAGCCATCGGATGGAGCTTGAGATCCGCATAATGGAATGTCCGAGAACCGAGACTGGGGCCGGGTGCATCCCACCCTGCTGTCATTTCCCAATATGGTTTAGTCTCTGTGGACGTCTCGTTGTCGAGGAAATCTTCACATTTTGCCGTCGACGCCCATGGACGAAGACACAGGAACAAGCTGGACGACCTGGAAGACAAAAGGTTACGGTCTACGCAATGTGACGATCGAGCCCGTCCGAAAATCATCTGAGCACCTCCTGACATCGTTCATCTTGCCACGGTCTACTCTCATGGAATGAAGAGATCATGGCGAAAGCAACATCTCCAGTGTCACGAATGTCACGTCATTTTCATGAGACGTCAGCATCATTAATATACGCTTAAATATATACACGAAGACAATCAACCGGAGACGCCGCCCCTTCACTCCAGACCGACGCTAATCGCCGCCAACGCCCAGTCCATGAAGCCCGCGTTCGTGTCCAGGATGTTCGTGTTGAACTCAGCCGTGGTCGGGTAGAAGTTACCAGAGGGGCCAAACTCCAAGGTGTATCCGTAGACCTTGTTGACGCCGGGCTTGGCCCAGAAGCGAGAGAAGGAATAATCGTCACTAGCGCCCGACGTAGGGTACAGGCCGACGGCCTGGATGGACGTGTAGGCGCGACCACCGACCGCCTTCATGGCGTTGACCATGGCAGTGCCAACAGTCCTAATGTTGCTGAGATCCGTAGCCGGAATGTACTCCTTGTACGCCGAGTCGCCAACCGGGCCGCGCTTGCCGTCGTAGGCAGAGTTGAGGAAGTTCATGGTGGACGTGGTCGTTTGGTCGTCATCGTCACCCCAGCTGTAGAGAAGGTCACCGACGGCAGAGTGGATGTCCATGAACCATCTGATCTTGGGGAAAGAATCGTACACGGAGACAAGGTTCTTGGTCTCGGGCTCGGACTCGGCAGCAGTGCCATAGAAGACCTCCGAGCTGGGCGAGGTGGAAGCAGGCGCTTCGGAAGAGTCGAAGTACTTCTTGAAGTTCCACAGGAAGTCGAAGTTGCGGTTGATATCGACACCGATGGAGCTGCCGCTGGAGCCAGACTTGGTGTTGCGGTTCTTGCGCCAGAGGGAGCCGGAGGACTGGTCGTAGGCGACGCCGTCCGCGTTAACCAGAGGGAAGAAGACGATACCGGCGGCAAGGACGCTCTTGACCTGCGCGTTGGTGTAGGTCTTCTTGCCGTAGGTGAGGCCGGTTCCAGCCTTGTTGGCAGCGAGCAAGTCGGAGACCCAGTAGATGATGTTGTCGGGACCGCCACGCTCACGAGCGTGCACCGCGGCGCTGAAGTACAGGTGGTACTGGGACTTGTCGGTGCCGGCCCCAACGAAGTAGGCGTATTGGGTGGCGCCGTTGAACGTCTTGTAGGGCAGGGTGACGGAGCCGATGCCGTAGTTCTTGACGAGAGCGTCGCAGGCCGACTTGATCTCGGCGACGTTCATGATGCTGGAGATGGTCGTGCCGGAAGCCCGCGTGCCAAGACCGACAGGGGAGACGGTTCCCGCACTGAAGCGATCGCCGGTTCCGATGGGAGCATTGGCCCTCTTGTCGAGTGATCTCCTGTGGAGGGAGACCTCTGGCACCATCTCGTACTCCTTGGACAGATGCTCGATCTGCTCCTCGGTCAGCCAAGCATGAAGCTTGTAGTGGCTGCCATCTTCGCTGGGCTTGGCGACAGCTCTGCAACCAAAGTCGTAGGTGTCGTTGCGGACGATGTCCCTGCAAATGGTCAGTTTATGTTCACCGTATGTGCTTTACTTGGCAAGGTATTACCTGAAGGAATCAGGCGTCGGTCCCTGCAGGTAGACGGGCAGGAGCTCTCCGAGCACGACAGTGCTCTGGAGGATCAGAGACGCGATGAGAGAGTACTTCATGTTGATCAAACCGAAGGATGCGAAGATGCAAGAAGGAACGGCCCGTCGCCAAGAGGATGGATGCAAAGAGTGAGCGAGGGGCACGACCTGCTTTCATATGTACGAAGTGTCGTCCTTTTCAGCCCGGCCAAGTCGAACGACAAAAAGCTTGAGTGGACATCGCTGTCCGCCGAAGCTTGCGGTCACGGCAAGAACAGCTCGTTCAAGCAGCTGCCCAGCCCCTGCCCGGCCAACTACCAGTCATTATCGCGACCTGCTTGAATATCCCTGATCCCACCTGCCCATAACGGCCTAGCGCATCTCTGATCTTGGTAGGTGGGCGAATCATTCATATAAATTCATCAGGCGCCTTGTACGTAAAAGCACCAATTGCCGCGTCAAAGGTCCCTGGCACGACGTCTGGTACCACCTTCCCCCCGATATCTCGACGCGATCGCCGAGCACCTCCTTTTTACGTTGTCGCTCCCGATGTGGGGTGACGACTACCGCGAAGCTCGGAGTTTAGCCCCATGATCCTTTGCAACGAACTTGAGCCTTTCTGGAATAAGCTTATTCTGCACATCAAGTCGCCCGCGGATCATCAGCTACATCACAAAAATTGAGAATCCGGATTCCAGCGAGCTTGCACTTGCGATCCCAAGACTGAAATCTCTCAGGAGCCGGTCTGGGTAACAAAACAGAGCGCTGCGTGTTGATTATGTAATCGAGAAGAAAGTTAATGAAATTGCAGTCTCGCAGCGCAAATTCTTAACAGCACTGCTCCCTGCGTGCTGACCCCTGACTGCCGAGGTGGTGACATGCAAGATTCAGCACTTCAAACTCCGCGCCGCTTCCAAATACAACACAACATGGGGGACTGTTGCGAGCATTGCGGACAGCTTGAAGTTACTCAAGGAAGAACAAACCAAGTCAAAGCTTGCTCAAGCTGCGCGAATTCAATTGGAATGAGATCATAAATATCTTCCTCCTGCCCAATGCTTGATCGGAGCCAGGACGACCTGCCACATCTGGGATGGTGATGTGCCATCTCACTGCGACAAACTCAAGCGAGCCATCGAAGACGATGTCAAAAGACGCAAGCGATTGGGTTGATATGTCACAGGCGGTTGTCTTGTCTAGTCACATGCCACTTTCGACAGTCAATCGAATGCAAACGAGCAGGCTAGGCCGCCATCAAAGATGAGTCGAAGCAGCGGAACCCTTTCGGTTTGTTGATTGTCATTTGCTTCTCTTCATAAAAAGGCAAAATCAAACGATGAAATGAGGTATGAAGATTCGATTCTCAAGACCTTGGTTGGCATGGAGTTCAAGCCGGCGTTGTAAAACAGTCCTCTTGAGCATTTCCCAGCCCATGCGCTGACCAACACAAGTATTTTCGGCATTGACTGAGATCATTACAGCTTCGAAAAAACATGGTGGTGTGCTCTTCGTAGACCTGTCCCACTATGGCAATTCACCCGCCCTGCGACGGTAATTCCAATAACCCAAAATGAGCCTTCCCAACGGCCTCAACCATCGGCGACAGCATCTTTTCTTCGTCGAAGACTTATACAGAGTTCAATCCCTCTTCTATCTATTGTGATCTCAAGCTCGCTCTTCAAGACATTAACCGAAAATTCCCAAAGATGACAAACACGGAGAAAGTGCTGGACTTGTAGGCAAAGCGGCGACCTCGTGCACAGCTTCATGAGGATGTTAAGCTTCCTCACGACGACATAATGTCTCAGAAGGCTCTTGAGAATCTATTTGCTCGACTTTGCCAAACGCTTGCTATATCACCAAACTGATTGCCGGGCCAATCCTGGCCGTCTGGTGTATGCAGCTACACCAAGCCAGAAACCCGCCTACTTTGATGACAGTCCGTCCATGATAATATGTCACGTCTACATTACGACGTAGCCTCAACCACGGACTCTAATGTCGGGCAAATGGGCCGTGGACAGACCCAGAGTCAATTTTCCCCCTTCTCGACATCAGAGACAGTCAGGCGACAGGTCCAGCAGGCATCGACCAACTCGCAAAGGGTTGGCTTCATGCCCACGACAAAGATGGAGGTTCGATGTACCTTGCTTCGGCCTCGCTAGATGAGTTTGTACCCGGTCTACTACAGAGGCCAGTGAGAGGTGCATAGGGTTGCTGGTATCATCACGGTGAGGAACGAATACTCTGGGGACGATGACAAGAACACTATCATTCTCCTCAACGGTTCCAGCGAGCTTCAATTCACAGGCGCTGAGATTTAACAGCGATCTGCAGCAGTTTGGAGCAAAAGCAAGCTATCATAACCTCCGGCACCGGATCTTTCGGTCTATCGTTCTCCCATATGACGGTTGGGATTAGATTCTGATGGTGGAAGATCTCATCAACTCTAGCTCTCAGTATGCCAATTGAGACGGTTGCCAGGAGACACACGAGTAGGAATGGTTCTGCGCGAGGTTTCGTTCTGTTTGATCGCGAGCTTGTATCGTCAAACAAACCATTTCCCACTTTAACAATACTGCGATTAGAAGGCAAGTCCAGTAAAGGGCAATATAACCGACGAGAAACCAGAGATCTGAGCTCAAGAACCGGTTGCATCATTGTCAAGGTCATGGTCTCACAGCACTCCGCAACGCACAGAGTCAATGACCGCATCAAGGGAAATCCACACACAAAAGACGTGATCCCACATATTCCCCCCCACTCGTCCCCAACAACCGTGCCATGAAGCCTTTTTCGGCGCCGACGTTACATGTTAAATATATGAAAAACGTCGGTTCGGTAAGAGGGTCGTACCGAAGGCAACACGTCCTGGTCATGAGGCTCTTGGACTGGAGTCGCGGAGCCTTCAGCGCGTTGTAGCTGTTGTGGACAATGCCGCAATCGGTGGTTCATCGTGTTGACACCCGGCCCCGGGTGCGACGGTGTTGCGGCCACCGAATTGTGAAGGGAACCGAAATAACAGCGCCGGCGTCATTTGGTCAGGGGTTCGCAGGGAGCCCGGTGGACTCAGTACCACCACAACACGCGAGGGACAGGTGGCAGACCTAGGAAACAAACATGCAGGGCGCGCTGGGGGCACTGACTCGATGCCGCGTGGAAAGGCCTGTCAGAAGACGTCGCAACGTGGAAGAGGGAAAGAATCGCCTGCGGTTGTTTGGAAGCTTCGTGACCGCCCATCTGGAATGAACGCAACGTCCGAGCGGTGATCCAGCGTTTTGGACGTGAGGAAAAACAACAGAAGCTCATCCAACACTAGACTCGCCGGTTCGCATATCGAATCAAATACGAAAACGCGGAGTTCGACTTCGTTTACTAGAAATTCCCTGTAACACCTAGTCCCAGGCGCCGGTCTGCGCTAGATCACCCGGATCGCCCGTGCTCGGTTCATCCATTGCCACTTTCGTCGATGCGAATCACGAGTCTCCCGCGTGGCATCTCCACGTCGCGGCAGTTCTAGAACTTGGCGACGGTTGGCGTGGACGGAAAGTAGAAGCCTGGAAGGGATCAACACTCAACAAGCCGAGAACGAAATCCTTCCGGAATTTTCGCGCGCGAAGGATTTCATGCTGTTGTCGCATTGTGCTCATTTCTCGCCGGCATCGGGAAAATAACCCAAAATCGCCATCGCTGCTGCGACGCCAGGGAGGCTCTTATTCGTTCAGTTGACGAGTCACCCTGGCGATGGAGGACTGCGAACCCACAGCGCTCCCGTAATATGCGGTCAGCGATGCTGGTGTGAAAAATTGGGACCAGGAGGGCTTTTTTTTGTTTTGTCTCTCTCCAAGAGCATCGTCAGCAAACGGTTTGCTCAAGACTTTGTTTCATGGCAGCTCTAAGTCAAGTGGTCGGATCCATTCAATGACGATTCGCTCTCCTTCAAATTCGAGGATTTTAGTATGTAAACAAGTCTGTCTGCTGGAATTCCAAAGCCGGAAGACTTGGTCGTGGGTGCGGGGATTCGAAGAAACGCGGCAACGGCCCGGACGCCGGCTCTCGGACCTCTCTCAGAGCACAACATATCCGGCACATGTGATTGGTTTATGGAGGCATATCCCCCTCGAGGGCTAGCAGCCATCTGAGGTTCAATCTCCGTTCGGGAAGACGAACCACGGAAAGATTTGAGGAACGATGTCACGGCTCCTTTTTAGGAACTCGGCAGAGGTCGTCTTGGTTGGCGAACTGAGCTCAGCTGGTTGCGCTCAGGAAGAAGCTAAGACGGCACGACGACTTGGATGCCGACTGATGAGACGGCCGACGACGAGGTAGCGTCTGTAATGAAGTACTCGCAGGATCAGCCTTCGAACTGAGGCTTCATCCAATGATTTCTGCTGCATAAACTCTCCGTCAGCTCGTTGCTGATTCAGGTACGGAAACTTTCCAAGGATTTTACCACGACTTGATGCCGGTCCCTGGAGTGGGATGTAGCCCCTCCCTTCTCGTGGCCGGAAGGGGAAAATTGACGAAACCAAGATGCCATGCAATCAAACCGTTGAAGAAAAATCGGCCCCCGACCCGTGGCTGGCGCCATGGAATGCGGGCCATGCTTCTCGAAATCTTGGACGGGCCTCCAATGCCGCGTGTGTGCTGTGACCTCTGGGTGGGTACGCTCGAGATGGCATCCTTGCACATGGCTGACGATCCCCTCAGCCCTCCGTTTGACTTGGGCCAGGGGCCGCCGCAGAACCAGTCCACAGAGTGCGTCGGGGCGTCTTCTTTCGGTTAGGGATCGACCTGTCAACCGATGTCCCCGTGTGCGGTGGATTTCGTAGATATGAAAGGGCCTACCGGGGGCCGCCAAGCCGTATTCCTCGCAGCGCTCCCGTGAGGTCTGTCGATGACTGGAGTACAAGTCTGGCCTTCATTGTCCTTCCCCAGATCCAGTACCACTCGTCTCCTGTTCCCCGTCCTAGATTGACTCGTGGAGGTGTAGGGATGGCCAGATGAACCACGGAGCTTTAAGTGACGTCTGCGCGCTACCTGGATCCGGGATCGACTCTCTCTCGTCCTCTCTCTCCTCTTCTTCGTTGTCCCCCATTCGAGGTCAACACCAGAGGCACGATGATTGGACCAGGCGGTGATGCGCCCATGGCGCTGGGCGTCCTTTGGGGCTTGACTGCCATGGCCTTGTGCTTCGTTATCCTGCGCCTGTGGACGCGGCTGGGTGTGCTCTCGGCGTACGGGATGGATGACCATTTCTTCAACTTTTCATTTGTGAGTGTTCGCAGTGGTGACATCGAACGAGCCATGCGCCTCTGACTCTTGTGTTGATAGGTCCTCTTCATCGCCTACGATGTCATGATCACGATTGCATCGTTCTACGGCTTCGGCAGGGATATTACGGAACTCGAGACATCCTACGACATCTCTCGCGCCATCTTATACGAAGCCATCGGACAGACTATCCTCGTCTTCGGCACCGTCGTCTCCAAGACGTCCCTTGCGTTGTTCCTACTCCGACTGGTAACTACCCGCCTACACCAGTTCATCATCCTCTTTCCGGTCATCATCCTCGGTATCTTCGTGGTCGTGTCGCTATGCGTTTTCTGGTTCTCGTGCACGCCGGTGGAATTTCTCTGGGACCGACTTCTCCCAGGCGGCTCATGTCCCATCGATCCGGGCCCGATTGCAACGGCAGCCGGAATCTGGAGCGTTGTGGTCGATTTCTGGTATGCGGTCACACCGTGGGCTCTGCTTTGGAACCTGCAGATGCCCAAGAAGGAGAAGCTTCTCATCAACATGAGTATGAGTCTGGGTATCATGTAAGTCTTGCTGCTGGAGTTGGATCACGGACATGGACTGACTGCTCTCAGTGCTGGAGGTTGTGGCATCCTGAGAGCCTTGGAGTTGAAGAACCTGAGCAGTGCGAACTTCACCAGTGAGTTGTCCTGAATCTGGGAGTTGGCTATGACGAAAATGAGGGCCAGTCACTAATACGACTGATTTACAGAGGATACTGTTGGTCTGATAGTCTGGCACGCGGCCGAGCTTGCCACAACTTTGGTAAGATACTTTCAGTTAAAATTGAAGACATTCACTCACTGTCCTAGGTGTGCATCGGCATTCCAGTCTGCCGCCCTCTGTTCAAGGAGTGGCTCAACCTTTGGACATCCCGAAGCGGCAGCAAACGCACCGGTCCTTATACCAGAGACATGACTGGATCTTTCATGATGAGAACGATCGGGGGCACCGACTACACCGTCCGAATCGGCCTCAAGACTCCAGAGCTGGATTTGGGAGGCCGCATCGGCGAACGAGGCGGATACGAAACGAGCGGCACCGAAAGATCAAACGGCAAAGACGAATATGGCGACAACAACAGCGTTGAATCGATTCTCGGTCCCGAGCTCAGGAGAGCTGCAACACGCGAGACACGAGACGGACATAATCGAGGATGGTCGAACGGGTCAGGAAAGGGTGCAAATCATGATATCTGGGTCAAGTCTGAAGTTGTTGTCAAGTCCACAGTAAGAGAATGAGGAATAATAATGTAGGAAATCTCCAACGTCCAATACTTCGAGAAACGTCTGGAGAATCGTGATTTTGAGCCACTACTCAAGTTGATCTTGAAGAGTTGGACTATCGAGTGATCTCAGTGGTCTTTGTAACCAGAATTTGGCCCTGCCGTGATCCCGCAAACCCCCTTTCATCCTCGGTGGTGCTGTCGTCCGAAGTACGCGCGTTGACGTGGGTGGTCGTGGTCCCGATATTGTGACTTTCCCGTCGTCCGGTAGCCTTCATATTTCGCAGTTCCCACGCAAGGTGTTCCTCACTATCCGACATTTGCTTGAACCCATCGCTGCGAACATTGTGCTTGTTGTGAAGTCCAGCCGTGCTCGACCCCGTGGCGCCCGCCGTGGCGTTGGATGTTGGACCGGTGCCGCGTCGCTGACTTTGCAAGCTCAAGCCGAGGATTCGCCCTACCGTGCGATCGAAAACTGGGCGAAGCATGGGACTTGAAGCAACCATCACCGCGATACCGGCTTGCATGACGCCGCTTACGCTGGCTACCGCGAAGCCTTTAGTGATGTTTATGAAGTCGATATTGTAGGCATAGTAAAGTCGTACGCAAGAGAAGACGATTGTTCTAGCGCGGCAACCAATAAGTCAGCTGAATGGATATAGATGTGTGGTTTCAACCGTGGGAGACCATCACTTACATAAAGCCAGCACAGAAAACGCCGTACAAGGCGATCTTGTGCGCCCTTCTGACCTGAAGCTGAGCGACGAACTTTATTGGCAAAGCGACAATGAACACATCAGTGACAATGTCAAAAATGGCTACAGCTGAATAGGCCATGGTGTGGTTGCCACAAGTCCCCAATACGCTAGGATCCCAGGCCATCTGAACCGGCTGGCAGATGACGAACCCAATCAACGCAGTGTAAAGAGCCCAGCAGATAGACAGGCCCATAGCTAGCCATGCAAGGAAGCGGAAGGTTGTAGAGTGCCCAAAGAAGATGCGCTGCAGCATCCAAGTGATGCTCAATTTGACGAACCCTAGAGTGACAGCATACAGGACCTGGGTAGCGAGCGAGATACGGAAGTAGTGATGTTTGTGATCTTCACTTAAGTTCCATATGTCATGTCCTTCGCCACCAACAGTAACCGCTTCAAAGTCTGTTAACATTCTATTGTTGCCTGCTTTCGACGAAGTTGAAGGCACGGAGAGAGCGGGACTGACCGAGGATAAAGCACGCAGAAGCGCCATAGTACAATGACTATAGGCTCTCAGTTTTGATTCGTGATCGCTTGGTAAGACGACTGAGGGTTTCCGACTCGTACCTGAGCAGCAAAGTAGAGGTAATCCTCAGTGAGGTAAGATATTTTGGTGATCCTCCTTGCCCATATGCGAAAGGCTGTCCAACATGTTGTCAGAATGAGCATAACTGAGGTCGCGGCCACGAGAGAGGCGCCTGTTGGCGTTAAAGGAGGGTATTTCTCCGTGATTATTGCTGAGTTTACAGCTTCATTCTGGCGATGTGCGAGGTTATGTGGCATCGCCATGGTAGCTGATCAACTCAGGAGTTCGGTCGACTAATCAGGCGTTCGGTCGACCACGAGACTGATACTCGGGCCAGCAAAGGGTGAGAGTTGGGGATTTGTAGATGAGATAGACTGCCTGTTGCTCTGAACAAGAACAAGCAAGAGGAACTCGCCATCGGCTCCTCGTTTTTTTCTCGTAGTGCGGCTTCCTTCCAAGGCCTTAGTTGAAACAGCGAATTAGGTCGAGACATGGTCCACACTAGCACATCAATCTCAAGGAATGAGTCTTTCCTGCAAAAGATGCCAAGCAGCATGGGGTACGCATACGTTGCAACATTGAATGTTATCTCAGGCTTGAAAACCGGTTGCCGGGATCTGGGACATCAGCAGGGAGACAACTGGATCCATAGCCGAGTCCAGCCATATCGTGCGCAGGAGCCGAAGTTCTCTTCAGCGTTATATCTCGTTTCCTTGTTTGTGCTACTCAGCTGGGGCAACCTCCACTCACTTCCGCGATGATAACAGGTCCGGAGGGGTGCCATCACCCAATGGCTCTGAACTTCACATGGTGTTGAAACTTTCCCAGCAATCCATGTTCTGAAAATCGCATGATCTGAAGACAAGGGTCCTGGAGTGACTAGGGTTGTTTAACGAGCTTCCTGTTGGTACTGTTGCCACATATGGTGGGCAGCTTGGTTGGTGCTATCAACTCATCAATGAACAGAATATTCAAAGAAAAAGGCAATGGTGATGTCCATATTACTGTAACTTAGCTATTTCAAGAGCAAAGAAACTCACGATTTCTCCAATTAGCAATTAGAGTCTGCCTGGTGTATTTGCTTGAGGTTCGAGCTGATGAATTCCGGTGTTGGTAGCCGTCGGCGCCGGGCCTTGACGCCAATGGTGAAGTCCACCATCGCCGTGCCAAGCCGACGCGGGGAAGTGGCACAGCAGTAGCCATGCTAGCCACATACCGGGGTTTGAGATCTCAACACGGTCGATTTGGTTCTCAACCCGCCCGATACCCGGTGTGGCCGTATTTTTTCGGAAGGTGGTCCGGGTCCGGGGAGCAACGGACTCATCACCCGTCCCGTCATTGCGGGTATCTCATCTAATGTTGCAGCAAGCACTCTCGTCTCGCCACCAACGTACTTCCAACAACTTTTCGACCATGTCTGTAACCCACTTTCCTCGTTTAAAAACCGCCAATTCACTGTTGGTTGCAAAAGCGACCCTGCACTGGTACCGGCCCCCCTGGCTCAGGATCAAGTCCAATATTCCGTACAGAAGTTGACGAACTTTCAACGGGCTAGAACAGCATCCCGTCGGGTGTTCTCGACATACGGATGCAGCGGACAATTTGCCTTATCCCCGGTGAGTGCCATCACTTTGGTCGGTTCATATAAGGCGTGGACCTGGAGTAGTGTCGTTCTCCTCGAGCTCTACCTCTCTCGCCAAGTCATTCCTTTGACAATTCAGGTTCGGTTAGAAAAATGTCTTTGTGGGATTTCATAGTTGTTGGCGGTGGCCTTGCCGGCTCCGTCATTTCTAACCGTCTCCTTCACAAGGATCCTTCTCTGCGGATTCTGTTGGTCGAGGCCGGCCCCAATGTCAATGGTCTCGAGGCCATCGCCTATCCCAACACCAGTACTGGGGCCGGAAGTGACCTCGATTGGGGTTATGCTTCCATTCCGCAGGTCAACGTGGACAACCGGTCGATTGCCTCTCCGGCTGGAAAGGCTCTTGGCGGAGGAACAGCGATCAATGGAGGTAAGTCAAGCTCGTCTAGCCGTCTTTCTCCGCAATCCCTCACGGCTTTTTGCTGACTTGAATCATAAGCGGCCTGGGTTCGTGGCCACACGGTAGACTATGATCTTTGGGCCGAAGAAGTTAGCGACAGCAGGTGGAGCTACGAAAGTCAGCTTCCCTACATGAAGTTGACCGAGAAGTTCTTCAATACCAGCATCAACCCTTCTCAGCACGGTTCCAACGGCTCCATGGTCATCCAGGGCGTTACTCCCATGAACCGTCAGTTTCCTATGCGCGAAAAGCTGGCGGAGTCCTACGAAGCCCTCGGTGTCTCTGCTCTGCCGCAACTCGATGCCAATGCGGGAAACCCCATTGGTTACGGTGACCTGCAAGAGAACCGAGCAGAGGGCCGCAGACAACTCTCATCAGAGGCCTTCCCTTTGGATGGGGCCACCGTTCTGACGAACACCATGGTTGAGCAAATTCTCGTCGAAAAGCGTCTGAATAGCAGCTCCGTTGTTGCAAAGGGCATCCGCCTGCAGAACGGAACAGAGTACCTCGGCCGCAAGACGATCCTCACCGCGGGTGCCTATCGCACTCCTCAACTGCTCATGCTCTCTGGTATCGGCCCCGCCGAGACGCTCAAGGAGCATGGCATCGAGGTGAAGCTTGACCAACCTGAAGTTGGCCAGAACCTCCATGACCACATCTTGATGCCGACCGCCTGGAAGGTCAAGAACGCCTCCGAGGGCTGGGCTTACGAGTCTGACAACCCCCTTTTCAAGGAGCCTCAGTACGGCCTGGGTAATAAGATTGATTTCCTCGCCACGACTACCCTGCCCAAGGAAGGTCTAGCCGCTGCCATCGGGGAAGATGAGGGCATCGAGCCAGGCCCAGATCATCCCCTGCTCCGTCAGGACCGGGCACATGTCTCTCACTCCTTGCAGTACAACGGCGCTTCAACAGACGGCTCCGCTATCCTGATGCTGTCCATTGTCCTTATTGACACCTCGCGGGGTTCCGTGGGCATCTCGTCGGCAAACATTAGCGACTACCCTGTGATCGACCCCAATTATCTCAGCACGGCAGTCGACAGATATGCTGTGCGCGAAGCTCTTAAGTTTGACACCAGGCTCCTCGGAAGCGATCTCACGCCAGTTGGTCGTGACATTCTCGATGGCGAGTTGGTAGCTGATGCGCCACTTACGGTGGACTCTGCTGACGAGGCATTCGCTGCCCGGGCTCGGCAAGTGGCAGGGTACGTTTCCCGCTCCCTCGTCTTGATACAATATTTTCAAAATTGACCTCTAAATAGTTCTTGCTTCCACCCGAGCGGGACTGCAGCCATGGGCAAGGTCGTCAATACTGACCTCAGTGTCAAGGACGTCGACGATCTCTTCGTTGCAGATTCGTCCATCTTCCCAAGGTCTATTTCCGCCAACTTACAGGTTGCCATGTACGCATTGGCGCTCCAGGCAGCTGATATCATTGGGGGTCACGAGAGCGAACGTTGAAGACGTGGGAGGATTTCCAGGGCCATAGATAGCGGCGAAAGCGCGTATTTGGATCAATCTATAGATGCTCTCCCACGATCATCTGACTTCTCTGCTTGGTGGACGCTGGCGGCGTCTGTATTGTTCTCGCCTCGAACAGCGAAGCGTGGACAATGCAGTTGTTGTCGTATTTCAGTTCGTATGCCTCGATTATAGATCTATTTACGTTATGAGTAGTCTGCGCTAATGTCGCTGACCCTTAGGGAACAATTTTGCTTCTGAGTGTTTCTGTGTATCGTAACCCTTCGGTTCTTGTGAACCTCATAGTGACACGAAGCCAGCAGGTGAATGGCACCACCAATCAACATACCTGGAATCAATGACACAACTAGTGACACAAAGGATAGAAGAGACTGCGACACCTGTAGCACCGAGGCGTGACAACTGTCGGCCGCAATTGAGGCCTTGTTACCTGGACGACCCCTCCTTCTGCCCCACTTTCATGCAGGCTTTATGACACACATTTTACGGATACCGTTCATCAACCAGCACTGGCCTGCTGGCGAAATGGCATCGCGTCAGATTTCGGCTGTCTCCAAGTCATACTCTGAAGATTCTAGGTTCGATCCCTAGGTAGGTCGCGTTATCTTTTACTTTTTTTTTTTTTTACCGACGCCCTCCCGATATTTTTCGCATTCATGAAGACAGTTGGAGTCGTCTGCCTATAGTTTTGTTTTTTCTGCTCCGTGATAATGTGATTTCTACCTTGCCTCACGCCGTTTTTCACGGCCTTCTTGGCAGGATACTCAATTGATGGCTGCTACCGCTGCAGTCTAGACATCAATCAGAACGATCCCGTCCATGCAGCCCGCAGCCAACCGATACCACCCCCTCCCACCCGTCACCACCCGCCGGCCTTATCTCCTTAAAGCCTGCCCGCCAAAGACCCCTACGCTCCACCACCTACCGAGATCGGGAGCACATCCGACGATACCCATTTTGCAGCACATCTCTCAACCACGCCTTTCGCAAACCCGTCATACACGCCTTTTCCCCAAAAACCTCACCGCCGTCCCCCAGTGGCCGTACCACAGCGTCGGCACCGCTCCCGTCGACCGCGTTACCCCTCTCCTTACTTTACCCCTCACGACCTCTGGGCGGCCTTCAATTGCGAAGCGGGCGAGGTTCGCGATCCTCCTCTCTGAACCTCTTCCTTGGTGTTTTCTGGATAAACCACAGCTATTACAACATGTCCGCCTCTTTGCCCGGCAGCCGCGAGCTGCCCGCCTCCCAGTATGACCTCAGCACCTACTGGGGACGCGCACGACACAGCATGGGCCTGACCGACCCAAGGTACGAGTTCTCTCTCTCGCAACCTACCCCGCCGCGGCGCGATGGTACAAGCCGTCTCTCTTACAGACCCAATGCTAACATGTCGCGATCTACAGCACCCTGCTCGTCGGCAGCACCGGTCTCGAGCAAGCCAAGTCCCTCCTCAGCGACTACAAGCAGGGAAAGATCCCGACGATGACGCCAGAGCTCTGGAAGGCCAAGAAGGTCGTCGACTCTACCCTCCACCCAGGTGCGACGAGCCCACGATCCCAATAACTCCCCCGCGCGCGGGCTCGTTGCGCTCCGGCTAACACAGGCACACGGCCCCCAGACACCGGCGAACCGGTCCTCCTCCCCTTCCGCATGTCCGCTTTCGTCCTGACCAACTTGGTCGTCACGGCCGGCATGCTCCAGCCCGGACTCGGCGTGAGTATCCATTTTCCCCTG